TGGAGAGCGGCTTCAACTACCCGAAGGGAGACGCCTCCTCCAGACCCCCTCTCCCGGGCCCTTGGGACACAGCAGCAGAGCTGGGCTGATGGCCTCCTCTCTGAAATGCTGATTAGGGCGCAAGGGGTCAGTTTCTCTTGTCTGTAAAGCCACAGAGTAGGATCCTGGAGGACGGAGAGTAGAAACTGGAAGACACAAAGCAAACACAAGAGAAAAATGATGGTGAAAAAGGTAAAGGTGAGGAACACCAGCATTTTCTATATTAGCTACAGGCAGTCCTCGACTTACAATGTTTTGAGTTACAACGTTTCACACTTACAACGTTTATAGATTGACACCCTGTCTCAACTTTATGACGTCAGTTTTGACTTACAACGCTTGATTCGATGCGACTCCATGCCAGCGAACAAGTTTGCTGTGTTGCTCATCTCCCTGGAGAACATCTGTCCAAACTTGCTTGGACACTTTCTTTAAGAAAGCAGACAGGAAGCCATGGGGAAACACTGAAAAAGATCAAAGATGGAATTTTGCCATATAGAAAATATTGAATCGTAAAGATAAAATAATGACAAGGAGGCATAAGAAATTGAAACTCCCATACATTGTGAAGCTCCTGGCTGAGCAAATGTTTCAAGTAAGGTATCTCTCTTTGACAGGGCTCCCAAGTTTTTTTGTTTTTTTACATGTTGCTCAAACTACTCTGGATGATCCTGCCCAAAAGTATTATCAAATGGAGTTTACAAAAGGCAACAATCTGGAGATAGCAAATTTCAGAGCTACCCATCCATAAGAAAGCAGCTGGGGAGAGGCACAAAAAGAGGGGGTGAATAGGGCAGGTGGTCCAAGCACTATTCCCAAAACAGAAATTGCAATATGGATAGGAGATTTGGACTAAGCAACATTTCCCCACCTCTTTCTAAATGACAGAGAGATTGGGAAGGAAACTCCTCTCAGACCTGGTTCTGGGTTTCCACTGTTGGCAGATGTCAAAGCTTCTGAGGTGGACCAGCAAGTCTGATATTAGACTCAGTGCACGTACACAAAACCCTCCATACATCCATTCACAGGAAAATGCTTCAAGCCTGAAAGGAAAAAAAGAATAGGGAAACAACTTCATTAACATGGCTTAAACTATGATTGGATTGGTTCTTCCCCCTACTAAGTTCTTCCATTCCATATACTAAGAGGTCATCATCACACAATAAATGATTTGTGATGTTGTAGAAGAGTCAACCTCTAGTGTTTTAACTTCCCCTTTCCTAACCTGAACTGAGCACATCATTCAACAGATGTGGATCCAGCTGGACCTTATGGTGGAGTTCCTTTACCTTGCTGCCACTGGGATATTAGATGCAAAATAACCCTTCTAACCCTTCCCATATCCATTGAGTCATGAGCCAGAGAATTCACCAGCCATGCATGCAGGGATTTAAGTTGAGGTTCTCTGATCTAAGACTGAGCTCCAATGCAAAGCTGGTCAGAGAAACTGCAATATGCAGCAAACTGATTTCATTTCAGAAAAAAAGACAGAAGTTGAGGGAGGAGAGTGCAGAGTTCTAACAGTCTCAAACCATCCTGTTTCCATGTTGTGGAAACATTTTGAATGTAAATTCTTAACTGCCTTTTCATTTACAGTGATTTCTTAATTTTGCATTTTAGACAAAGTCAATTCAATTCAATTTCAATTTATTAAGGATTCTGGCTAAATGCCATGCTACCACAGATGATATAACACATATACAACCATAATATAAATCAGTTTGAACACAGTAACCAAACTACATATAGTATACTAAAAATAGAGCCCACCAAAATAAAAACATTATTAATATAAATATAGTAGTAAATCAGGACATGAATCTATAATATTATTGTACATAGATCCCCAATTGAGACAATAAAATCAAATCTAATGTTAAAATGTATCACTCATATCACAGGGGTGTTGGTTGTAGCCGTGTTGGTCTAAGGACATAGGCAGACAAGGTTCTTTGGGTGAATCTGACATATTTTATTAGACCAACTTAAATAGTTGGAAAAAAAATTGTAGAAAGCTTTTGGGTTTAAAAACCCTTCATCAGGCTAGGAAGTCTCTGCAGTTGGTGTGTGCTCTTCCATCCAGGAAGAGGTATAGGTTCAATAATAAATAGGTTCTCCTTATGTCATTATATAAAGAACATTCTAATACATAGTGGATAGTATCTTCCAAAACTCCTAGACAGACTGGGCAATATCTTTTAGCCCTTGGGATGGAAAATCTACATCCAGCCAGAACAGCTCTGGGCATCTGTTCAGTCCTAAGTCTAGTCAAAGAGGATCGCCATTTATTATTGAGATCCAACTGTAAATACCTTTCTCCCCCCTGCCCCAATCTAATTTCCAAAGAGTATATAAAGCTGTAATACAAGTAGCCCTAGCCACTGCAAAATCATTCTGCCTGGCAATATCTCATAAACCTAAACCTTTTCTATGGAAGAGAAAAATCCTTCATTATCTTTGAGATAGTATCCCATCCCAAAAAGTGCAAAATTGTGGGAAAGAAAAGCTAACCAGGGTGATTGGAGAGGAGGGGGATTATTAATATATTTTATGTAGCATAATTTTAAGCAGACAAGATAGTAAAAGGGGCAGGATTTTAAAACAAAATCCCACTATTTTAATAATAATATTAGGTAAAATAGAATCCATTCCTGTCACTAATCTCAAAAAAGTTGCAGAAGTTGAGGGAGGAAGAGCCAGAAGAACCCTAAGAAACTTGTTCTGAGGTATGTCTACATCATTACTAGCAGCAAAGACAAAGTCAAAATTGAAACACTAGGACCTTGTGGTGACAAAATGGTTCAACTAGCCCAAAGCAAATATCTCTTCAGGATTTTCCTTCACAGAGAATTTCGTAATTTCTGCTCTTTGTTGTGAATGAACCCAGGATTACCTCCTTTGTGACCTAGACATGAGCAGAGCACTTCAGGGTTGGATATTTTAGAAGGAATTTTCAATCAAAGCTGATGATGTGTCCACTGTTGTCATTACCTTTTATTGCTCACAAGTTTTACAGCTAATGTTAACAGCATTTTGTTATCTCTACTGTACAAATACTAAGCATCATAAGCCTTCCAACATGGACTTGACAACAGGCTGGTCATGTTCAATTCCCTTCCAGCATTAAGCAAGCAGCTCAAAGTGCAACTGAAAGGTATGGAAATAACCAGCCTGTTTTTCCGGGGACATGTTCCTGAGCTAAGGGCTGCAGTATCAGTGGGAGCTGTTTCTTTGGCCTCTGTTCATCTTGTGAGACTCTTGTGGGTGGTTAAATATACCTGCCTGAGAGGTGAGACATTTGGAATCTACTTGACTATTGTCATTCCTGTCACTTTACGCTAAGAACCAAAGTTACACATAAACTAGTTTAAGAGATCAGAAACTGGTTTAAATCTGTAACAGACCAGAAGGTCAGTGCACATAAACCAGTTTTAAAAAGGCTGAAACTGGCTTATGATAAACCTGGTTGAATGTAGTATCAGACTTAACTGATTTGGGTCAAACTGGTTTATAAAACTTCTATCCCAGACCCCTTCGTGGTTCAAGTTAAAGTACAGTCCCCCAGCATCTCAGCATGCTTTGCAGCCCTGGGCTGGGCTAGGCTGCCTGCTCCAGAGAGCAGGACTCACCCTGTCCCTCTGCACCCTAGGCGGAGCAGTGAGGGCTGGCTGACAGCCAGGAGAGTGGCAAGTCAGGCTGGGGATGCAGCCCAGCCTACAGGGGGGAGACTGTCCCCCCCAGACAAACCTCAGCTGGGGTCTGGGACCAGAGATGGGGGTTAAATACCACTTCCCCTGCTCAAATTTACTGCTGATTGCAACTGTGGACTACAAATCCCAGAGGCACCTGGAAGCAGGAGAAGTGATGAGACCCTACAAAGTTCTGCTGCTCTAATTCTGAACTGCAAATCCCAGAGACCTCTGGGGCAGCAGGAAGAGGAAGTGAACATACAGTCAGAGAGTCCTGCTCTAATCCTGCATGGCTTCTGTCCTGAGCCACTGCAGGCATGAGGCTGCATTTTTTTAATCAAATGTAAATGTCTATTCAATTCTGTTTCAATTTAATCTGTGCATTTTAGACTAACCTGCAAGAACTGAATAGATTCAGCCTTAGGCTTTTTGACAGTCTGTACTTAGCCTTAGAGGCACAGCAGAGATTTGTTTTTCCTGTTCCATTATATCTCCATCCACTGTGCAGGCGGCAGGATTTGAATAAATGCTTCAAGAGAAAAAAAATCCACCTTAAGTATCTGAAACTGAAGCAGGCTTCTACTCAGGGGCAGATCCAGAGGGGTGCAGCAGTGCCATTGGACATCCCTTTCCTGTGTAGCACAGTGAGCTCTCCAGAGACATGTTGGTGATTCCTTTTCTGTAGCCCTGGATAGCTGGATCTACTGT